TAATTGAATAGTCAAAGAAAACTGACCTGTTCGCTCAAAATAAAACCCTACGCAGGGGCTTGGCAGAAGAAAGACGGTTGAGCTACCTTCCTGTCTTGATGGCCGTGTTATTGCGATTACTGGTTCAATGTGTCAGTCCCCTTTGCGTGTCGCTGCTCAAGCCAAAACCCTCCAGTACCCCTTCACACTAAAAGGAGCTATGGCTTACCTTGGCACAATGAGTTCATCAATGTCGACCAGCGCTCCGAACTCGCTGTTAATTCTTTGTACACAATCGTTATGGGCGAGCGAATGTGCGAGACGGTACACAGAAAGATTTGGATCGATGTTGGAGAAGCGTGGAAGTAACGGCCAACTGATCACTGTAACAAAACCCTGAAACCAATTGTCTTTATTTTTGTAATTCTGCTTAATCGCCAAGGTCAAATCAAAAGTCCATACCTCTCGTTCGTAATGCCGTAGCACTTGGCGGACATTATGCGTTGAGGAGTGATAGTACATAAATATGTGGCTAGCCCCATGTGCTCGCCACATCTCTAGGAAAAAGATAACCTTCGTCCAGTCGGTAAACCTGAATCAGATATGTTGATCTCTGAAAACGGAAAAAATTGAGTGATGAGCTGCCTCAGACGAACTCTCCAAAAATTGTTTGCCAGATAGATATTTATAAATTGTAGGTTGGAAGACGATTTTTCACAGTGATGCTTGCTGTGAAATCCACTTAGCGAAATAATCCACGTACAATCATCACTGTGAGATAGATTAATTAGCAGGAAACTCTCCAGTATATTGGCGGCACACAAACGTTCAAGGCTCCTTTCGTTCTGATAGGTGGTCGATGCAGTGGAAGACGCACGTCTGCACGATCTCTCGACAGGATGACCTGCAGAGGTGACTTAAGATACACAGAATAAATGTTGTATCCGCAATTGCCAACAGTTACATATTTTCTAGTTACTTTTCTGCGCAGAACGATATACAGCGCATTAAAACGGAGTTTTACACCCACATTCAAAGTTGAGCGTAGCTAAAGTCAAGTTTGATGCTCTCAAGAGATAACTGAAGAGCATATTCTAATCCATAAGGAAGTTTATAATAAGGCGACATTAAAAGATTCAGCAATGGAAACATGGTGCTAGGTTCGAGCTCAAAAGGTGCTCGACGGATCGTGGATCATTACGAGGATCTCTAAAAATCTGGTAGGGAGGGACCTGCAAACGGGGAAGTGTTCACTCTAGTACGCTATTCATCAGTTGAAAGGCAGAATTTACGATGAAAAAGCAACCCATTTCAAATAAGGCAAGGATAGTGAGTGGTACAAGAAAGAAGGAAAAACCATGAGAAACGGCCCAGAACCCGAGAAATGGGTTGGCTCGGATGCTCTCTCGCTATCTAATCACTCGCAGCGTATACAGGGGGGGGGCCAAAAAAAAAGACATTTTGCCTCCACTTCCAGATGGATTTAAGCACATTTTACTCAACTCAGACCGAACGGTTCCAACTTATTATTAAAGAGTGCATTCCATTCTATAAGAAAATCTTCATAGTGGCCACGTACGTGGACGGCATCAGAAGAATTAGCCCTGGAAACATGGTGCACTGGTCGATCTCAATGGGGTCTTCGAAGGATCGTGTACCATAACGACCCTTACTGGAAAGCTAGTTCCGAGGGGATTTGCACAGTGGTAGCTAATGCCTCTAGAAAACTATCCAACATTAAATCGATTCACGAAATTGCGTAAGAGCTTCAGGCTGAAGCTCTTACGGTAGACCTCCTTGAGCCTGACGACGGTGACAGATGACGTCATATTCTGAAGACGGTGAGGGCAGTGAAGGAGAGCCTGCGTACACTAATAGAGGAACACTTAGGGAATACTCTGCTGAGGAACTCCCGTCAACGACAGCAATCTCTGCGAAGAAAAAAGAGCCGAAGTCCGACATAGGCAAAATGTCTTTTTTTTGGCCCCCCCCTGTATACCTGCCGGAGTAGTGGTCGTCCGCGCAACTGCGCCAAGAGTGAGCCATACTGGAGCATCGAGAGGTCAAATTTTCCACCGCCAGTCCGTCTCCCAACTAGGCAATTTTCCCCTACTTCGACCTTCGTTCTTATCGTGGAATTCTCCTTTGAGGAGGACCCAACAATTACGTCGGAGGTTGAAGGAGGAGAATCATGCCTAGTGGAGAGACAGTGGGGCACCATGAGTGCCAGACTAAGGGTACGCCCCAGCGGCCCAGCAAGGCCATTCCCGCGCTACTCGCACCGCTGCTCGCCCACCCTCTCACCGTCTGCCTCCAACCGCGCTAGCACAGAGAGCGTTAGTTCTGAAGAGGTCAGCACACAGATGAGATACGCCTAACGCGCAAATCAACGGGCAAGAAGGAGTCACATTTCTTGTGTTTTAGGCCGTTTATTATTTTTTTCTCAATCCAGCATCTTTAATCACAATTGACATGAGGTCTGATGGACTGTCCATTCGTCGTGATAGACGAACTTGACCGATCGAAGAGATCATGTAGCAGATTCGATCGGAGCAATTACGGTAGACCTCCTAGGTAGTTCAACGGCAATGGCAAACGACGTCAAATCCTGAGGAGAGGACAGTGAGAGAGGACCTGCTTCTGCTGACAGAGGGATATTCAACGTGAAGCCTCTGCTGACGGCGACACCTTGTGCGACGAAACGTTAGCTGATGTGCGCCATGAGCAAATTCTTCTCGCCGCACCTCAGATAATGGTGACTGCCCCTCGTTGTGTAGTTAGGTCACAGCGTGGTGTCGCCGCACATTTGCCTGAGCCGCGCTAAAATTAATGGCAGGTATTCACTTTGTAATGGTACGCTGGTTTGGTTGATGTCGCATTTGTTGACGAATCAACAGTAGACCCTAAAGCTTCGTACGAAACCCTATCTGGAACACAAAACAGGGAGCTGACGGACTGCAAAAGATATTGGGTTGTCTCATAATTACTGTCGCATTTCTATTCAGTTTCAAATTTCTTCCGCCTAAGACCGTTTCATTGCGAAATACGTTAGTATGTTGAAGTACGCTTCAAGAGCTTTAACAGTATGGTTTCGGAAACGCGAGCCCGTAATGGGTTAATCAACTAGAAATAAAATATAGGTCAGTGACTATAATGAATGATTATGCTTTACGATCCTCAAATGAACTCTGTAGCAAGGAGGACAACAGAGAAGACCAGCGCTGTGTTTGACCAGTCTCTGCTACTGATAGGGTACTGAGCTAGTGGTCCAATCGCAACGGCAAAGACGAAACGAGCTATGAACTTCAACCTCATACTGGGCCTGCGGTCATTTTTGATGAGCGCCCCTTGCACCCTAAATTGGGAGTGCCTCCGCACGTTGCTACCAGGGTATTGTAGCAGATACCTGAGCGCAGCCGATGCACCAGCACACGCCATCAGTATGGCAAGGACTGCTGCAGAATGAAGTTTTGATGGAAACCTTATGAACTTCGGCCGACTATGAGCCGTAATAACTTCGTTCCGGACGACATGACGAGGGCAAGCACATCTGACATCTGGGAAAGATCCATTCTGGGACGGCAAAGCAGAACCTTCCTTAGTCGGTCACTAGTGGAGATGAGTCATGAGTCCACTGCGACAACACCCCATGGCACGTCTGTTGGCTACCTCGCAGCAAGGAAGCACCAGCTCAACCAAAGCCCGAACTCCGTTTTCTGAGAATATCGCTCTCGTTTTATTGGATTCGCTAGGTGGCCTGGTTTGGGAACCACTTCAATGTATGAAGACAAGCATTGCTAAAGTCAGCGCGGAATAGCCCTCTTGGCTGGCTTCGGGGTTGCGAGGGAATCGTCAGAAACGTCTCAGATTCTCCTTTCTCCGAATGTACGCCAGACCTCACATTGCAATGCCAACTCACCACGTTCTGAGGGAGATAGCCAGGGCCACGATACCTCATCCCCATATAGCATTGGCATCGCTCTATCGGACTATCGCCTCCCCTGCGCCCTGAATAAGCATCTGCCAGAGAAGAAAGTTAAAGATTGCGACCACCCCAAAAACGACTTCTCCAAATTCTTCAACCCCCAGCTTTCCTTCATTCTGGGCTGGAAGCTTCCAAACGCTCACTAGCAAATGCACGCATATCAGTGACCATGATGGTGGTTATGTTATTGATCAGTTGTTTCCTAGAAGAGATAAAACTTGGATAAACAAAAGTGTCGAAATTGCGACAAGTAATTATGAGACAACCCAATATTTTATAGATGACCTAGTGAAATGAAGGATTCACCACGGTCAGGAAGTGATATGCTTGGTAACCGAAATGTGATTACCAAGCAAGGTCGCTGGAATGCAATCGCGTAATACATTTTGATTTCCGCACGACGTCTGATTATGATCCACATTAGGACCTCCTCTGATTCAGCCGCATACCACTGGTGGGATAGGAAATTATTAGGTTGGAAGGAAAGTTCCTTAACACTTGTAGCTCAATTTTTGAATTTATTTTTTTTATTCTTTATTTATTCAATGATCCATAACATATTGACCATTAGATACAACAACACTACGCCAACCTTCGGGCATTTGGGTGACACCGCAGAAATTAGAAATTAGGAAGATTTTTGCCAAACAACCTTCTGGTGTCGGATTTGCGCTCGTTTACGTCGTCGAGCTTCCTGTTCTCCAGGTAATGAGCAAGCGAGCAGGAAAGGTTGAAGAGGTGTATAGATAGGTTTGACGAATATGGCAGACGGGCAGCCGCGGTCCTGCCTGGCTTCAGAGTCTTGTGGCTTGAGACCGAACACCCGCGACGTTGCGCGTTGTCGTGAAGCAGGTTGACTTGTCGCTATATTCGGCGAAGCTCTTCTGCAATCTTTTCGAGCAGCTAGCATTGTGAAGCCCTTGTACTCGTCAATCCTCCAGACAGATCATCATCACCCGTGGGAAATACCGTCAAACGTCAAAATGGGCAGTAGTCGTGTGTTGCGTCAGAAAGATCAAAGTCTTCGCTGCGGAGCGTTTAAACCAAGCCGAAACCGCCATGTGAGAGAACGTGCCCAGGCCTATCCCGGGACTGATCCTGACCACCTCTGGTGGGCAGATCTCTCTAGGCGGAGCTCTTACAGAATGAGCGCTCGGAGTGTCTGGCGGGAAAAGTTGATTTAGTGCCATGCAAACGCCATTATTGGGAAAGCTGATTTGATCACCGTACGTAGCACGGTCCACTCCTACTATATACCACCCATGGAAGATTCCAGAGCATTCGGGAGAAATCCAGAAAGAGCGCGAATTGAGTGTTAAGGAACTTTCCTTCCAACCTAAAGTTTTAACCAACTAACTCTAGTTGCTCCACTGCCAATACACTGTGTCGCAATGGGACCGCTGCCTCAAATGCGCGCGCGATTTTCAAGCAGCGCCACGTGGCAACCGACAGTGGGGGGTGGGGCTTGCCAACGAAGGTGTGGCTTGCGTGCGTCGAGCAAGCTTCTAGCGCCTTTGTTGGGCACTTGGAAGGCGCAAGAGAGCGCGATATCCACGCTTGGTCCGCCTGCCTACTACTTTCGGGGGAACGCGATCGTGCCTTTGATGAATTACCTACCAACTTACGCTTTTTGCTGATGTGGCATTCGTTAACGGCGCATCGAATACATAGTGAATTGTATAGGGCCAGCCTGGTGCCATCCCCAGTGGACAGCCTTGCTCGATCGTGTAGAGTTATGAGATGAGCTGTTGCTGCTTCGTCGGAACCGACACCTTCCACGCAGATTCCATTCTGGATCAACGCACTGATTTATCGAAAAGTATTCGTATCGCATTGCTGTAATAAAGTGGTTTCGCAAAATACTTCATAGAAGGAGCTCAAAATATGTCACCTGTCTAGCAGAATATGCTCTATATAAAAATAGAGATTGGGAGGTCAACTCCAAATTACCCACGCCATGGAGGTATTCGGCCCTGAATCGCTGCCGAGATATTACTGACGAATGCATGTGAACAAGAAATCAAATTACTCACAGTGTGTCCTTAGTATTCATAAATTTACCGATGATCAGGTTTAAATAAGTAGTGTAATAAATCAGTGTGAGACCAAGGAATAGAAGAGCGCCAACAAAGAGCAGACGTGCTTTGATCATCTGGAAACTTGATTCAAAAATAATGGCGTATTTGGTCGCTGAATGAAGATTATTGCAACTGAAAAATTCTCCAAGTGAAGAAGTGAAAGGGATGAAGAACGTGCATGATGTTTATTTGAAGAAGGACTGCCCACACCTCACCAAACCTGTTCTGTTATGACAGCACTAGTAAACCATTAAACATTTCGACATTTAGTCGACGTGAGCCAGATAGCACTATTCAATAACCCCTCCCCCACACCCTGTAGATACGCTTTGAAATGACTGCCAAACTTGAGGTTCACTAATTTACTTAAAGGTACATTCCACGATTACAGCAGGTGCCGTTCTAGCTGCCCCATGTGTCCATAACTAAACTGGCTTGCAACCTGATCTTCTAGATGAGACTGTTGCGGTGCACAGCAGGATCTCTCCCTGCGTCTTTACCATCCATTATGCTCTCTCGATCTCGATCTCCTTGAAGAACTCGTCGTAGCTCTCATTACGTCCTGTCCTCATTACCAAAGGAATCCTTCCTTTGATATCAGAGTCTTTGGATGCTTGTTCCCTTTTATTCCTGCACCAGAAGTTCTCTCACGTTACTTCTTGGTTTTCGAAGAGGAATAATCACATGTTGTGATCGTGTAATGAATGTGTCTGGACTTTCTTATTTTGAGGAGACCATTTAAGGCAATCGACGACTTTTCGCAAAAGATTTTCTAAGGCAGTTGCAGGCTAAATTAGATGTTGGAAAAGGAAATAGTGTAAACGAATTAAAGGAGGAATTCACCATGAAGAACGAAGGTCAGTGAAGGGAAAATTGCATAGTTGGGAGGCGGCGGACCTCCTGAGATTGGTGACCAATTGGCAGCGAAAGATTTGACCTCGGCGATCTAGCATGGCTCACTCTTGGCGCGGTTGGCGGGGTACGCCCACCGACTATCTAATCACTCGCCGCAGGTCTATACGTGGCGAGTGATTAGCAGAGAGAGCGTAGTGTTGAAGAGGGCACAGCGATGAGAGTCGCATCAATGCTCAAATCAACGGGCAAGGAAGGGGTCCCATTTCTCGGGTTCTGGGCCTTTTCAAGGACCACGGAAGGATGGGGGGGGGGGTTTGTTCTTCATTCCACCTTCTACCCTTATTTCACCAGAGCTATCTATAATCGTAAATTCTTGCCTCAAAGTAATTTGACGGGGAGAGTTTTCGGGCGAAGAACTTCGTCTGTTTGGCGACCTTTAACCATCACGTCTATACCGTGAGGAATGAGTTCTTTCATTGATTATCGGCTCTGTCAGTTCCTTGTTTTGTTGCCTAGTTTGCACTAACGTACAACAACAATTACACAACGTACTATAGGTGTATCCGAAATCAGAGTTTACTGGTGATGCGTGGAGTGATGCAGAAGGCGTGGTGCCTAGATACGGTAAGGTTCATCACACCGCGGCACGAGGACTTAGGTAAAAGATTGCTTATGTGGAACGGGGTTTTTATTACGAAAGAGATAGAGAAACTTGGTCACTTCAATACCTGTAATTTTAGTAAGGTTGTCCCATATAGTGTCACTTTTTTTTCATACAAAATTTTCTGCTGAAACCCTTGTTTCAACATCTAATCATACACCAATCGAAAAAACACTTTCTGCTCTACAAGGCGGTAGGTTTTTGTAACCGGGGACATTCTTTACACTTTTTGTGAATTTCTAGGCCTGCGATTGCAAAGAGGTCCTGTCGATGAAAATTGACCCCAACGTATCAACCATTCTAGAAGGAATCGATCAAGCTGATGTACTTTTTCTCCTTAGCATGACCTTTTCTTAGAATTAGCTGCTAGGTTGTTTCACAGCTTGGGTCGTGTTCTTTCTGATGCTCATGTTGGGGCGCGATCTCGCAGCGGTTCTTGAACTGGAATTTTTTCCCTAAAACTTGGTTGTCCAGAAAATCCTGCGACACTTTGTCCAAGATTTTTGATTGCACCTTCCTTTCTTGAATTAACCATTCAATCAGCAAGGTTATCACCGTCAGCATACAGGAAACGTACCCTTTTTCTGGGAAGCTTCTCAACTGTCTTACATCAGAATTCCGGCGTTGGCGGTGCAGGTATGCAGCAGCTTTCTGTAGAGAATCAGTTTGCAACCTCATCAGAAACACTAAAAAGTCCTTCTTGACGAAGGCCTGCTTTTGTTCCTGCAGGCAGCTTTCCTCTTGTCGAATCCAGTAGTGCTTATGTGTATAGTTTAGTCAAGGCCAGAGCTATCTTCATTAGCCATCATTTTTGTCAAGAGATTCCTTTGATGCGAAAGAAGAAGAAAATCTGAATCATGGTCACACGGTTCGCCTCCCCAGACTGGCGCAACCCATGTGGTGTCAATGGCGAACATACTGACCCATAATCGAGATGTTCTTGATAATTATCGGATAAATGCACCTAAGCCTTTTTGATAATCTACCGTTTGTAATCTAAGAAGTTGCGTAAACGCTCGCTACCGACCAGTTCCGTACCTCACTTCAAAGAAAATATCTCTGTTGCGAGGCAATAGGCCAACGGGACACCATGGCCTAGTGAATGACATCCCTCCTGACTACAGCACAGATGCTAGCTGCAACGACACAAACGGAGTGGCTTTACAGGAGCTCGAAAAATAAAATAGGTCAAAAGATGGTTGATTCAGAGAGAAGTTTGAAGCAGTTAAACGCTGCACGAATCCATTTACGCTTCTGCCGAAACCTCCGAAGATACACTGCAGCAATCAAATGCCAAAACTATTGAAGAAGGTTTTGATTTTTTTCTAAAGAACTTTGCTGGAAGTCGCAGGGTTTTCTGGACAATATGTTATGTTATGTATGTATCAAGGAATCAATCACTCGAGAGCACCTTTTGGTTCTTTTCGCTCACATGTTTTCATGTTCTGATATTCGTTATCAATAAGGTCAAATTTTAGGCCGTGGCCTAAAGAGTTCAGTACAAGGGGTCACCTACTTTAGAATAAGTTATGAGTAATCAAGCATACATTTCAAAGTCAGTCATAAGTTGCGTTTCAAATTCCACTACTTGTGTTCACGAAATTCCAGTTTGTAACGCCCCTAATCGAAAAATTTTGGGGTCTAGACTTGACGCGACAGTGCTAACCCTGAATTCTGGCGGAGAAACCTTAATTTGCAAAAGGAAGGACGCGAATTGTTGGAAGATCTTCCAGCAAATATTTGGAAGACGTCGTGGTTGCGTGGAAAATGCAATTGCGCGATTCCTCTTTGGGGCCTTAAGAAATAATCGAGAGCTGGTTGTCAGTTTGTCTACTTTTCGTCGACTGGACCCCCCATATTAGAGGTCTAAAATATAAATGCTCTGCAATGCGTCATAGAATCAAAACGAGCCATTTGTACAGCAGGCGAATCCTTCCCGAATGGTACATGGAATAATAAAAGGATTAGGATCTTATGGTTAGCAAAAAATTATCTGATTGAGGAAGGAGCAACTTTACTTATGGGGCAGCCTACATTTCGACGCAAACCAGTAAGTTGAGACCTAATTGAGTAATCCTGTACTTACATAGATTACTCAAAAGCTTAACATGGGCGCTAAGAAGAAGCATTCCTAGTCGTTGAAGAATAAAATCACAGCGGTCAGATAAACAGGATTAAACATTCATAGGGCGCATTAGCAAGAAAAGCCCTCGCATGTCCTTATGTAGACACATGAAGCCACTGGATTCGGATGGAAGTTGAATGCTCAGAAAAAAGAACTGATCTGGATGAGCGATCATCTGTTGTCCTTTTATTATGCCCAGCCGACTGCGAGGAAAAAATGGTCAGCAGAGAGCAATGAAGAATGACATACAAGGGGAGAAGTGCGAATGCGAGCGACGAACGATCAAAAATTGGTAAAAGACAGGTTCTTTATGTCATGGGGTTCTCATCAGCATGTCTCCCCACTAAAGAGAGTTTTTCATACATTATTTTCTTTGAACTGAACTGCTATCTTTCCACAAATGATTTGTCACATGTTCCAGGAAAGGGAGTGGAACGAGACCATCAGAGGGCGAGCTGGAGGCTATTGTGTCACAGCGATGTCGGCAGAGTCGTTCTGAAAGGGGTTTTTAGGAAACTTTAGTGGTCCTAACTGCTCCCATTGGTCGCATTTATTGTAAAGGACACGGGTCGGGATTAGACTCCTTCATAAATTCTGTTGCTGGGTGCGCAACTTTCTTGTTAGAGGCGAAACCACGCTCGTAACTCGAAAACGAGCTGAAAAACGCCTGTGGCGTAGCATTCTCTGCTATGTATCGCCAGTTTACTGGCAGTAATATCGGCGTTTAGTAGTAGTAACTTGCTGGTATGGAGCTCACACAATCGTTAAACTCACACGGACGCGCAAGCACAGACGAGGCTCCTTCACTGTGTTTTTTCCTTCGCTTCCTTTCCTTTTTTTTCTTCGCTCAACTTACAATTCACATTTCTGCTGCCACGTTCAAGTGCCACAGCGCTCAAATTCGACGCCACCACCTATCCTAAAGCCTCTCTACCCGTTCTCCATGACCTTTCAGAGAAACTTAGGGGCAATGAGGGGCGG